CGCTGAAACATTGGGCCCACCCGACTCAAGGGTTGGTCGGCCCAAGTGGCCGACCGCTTCAATGGTTGACCGACCCAAGAGGCTGACCGGTTCAATAGTTGGTCGACCCAAGCAGTCAGACAATTCAAAGGTTGACAATCCCAAGCGGCGGCCAATTCAACAATTGGCAGGCCCAAGCAGCCAGACGGTTCAACGATTGGTCGACCCAAGTGGCTGGCGGGTTTGTAGGTGGTCGACCCATGGTTGGCCGACCAACAAGAGTTGTAGCAGGCCATCGGTTGGTCAACCGGTTTTTCGGGTGGTCGGCTCGAGTGGTCAACCTAACGTCTACGTGGTCCTTGGGGCATCTTTGACGGTGGCAATTCTTCCAGCTTTGCAAGACCTATTTCCGGCTATACAATATATACATACATACGTACATATACATATATATGATCATTTACGTGACTGCTGGTATGAGTTCAATATGATTAAAAAAATATATCAAAAATGACTAAGAGGGAGAGTTTGATATGAGAGATAATTATGTTGACAAGATTAATGAAAAATATTACATGCAATGGACACAACATTTGGACGACAATTCAGACGCAGATACGTTGCAGTATCACAAGACATTTCAGACAGACCGTGGTCCGAACGTGTAATCCCTAAACGTAATATTTTCTTCACAACTAGTGATAACAACAACATTCACTTACAATAGAAGGGAAATTTAACTTTTTATCCCCCCTAATGTCTATTTGCAAAAATATCCCATTTACATATTTATTTTGACAAATATCTTCCAATATATAGTTTGAACAAAAATATCCCAACTGAGACATAACTTTGTGCATTTGCAATATGCTCATTAAATTTATAAATCTTTCAATTCGCACAAAAGTTCAAATCAAGCTCAAATCTTAAATCAAATCAATTTTGAAGGACTTAAAACTCTAACGATAAGTTTAAAACTTTCATCCCTCAAATGGATGAATATATAAAGATACTTGTCTAAATAAGCATATTATGAGGAATTAAAAAGAAAATTAACTTTTCTCTAGTAAAAATGAAGGAGAATTTTAGATTATCTTTAATTTTTCAAAAAGAACCTATAAAAAAAAAGTTCTCACAAATTTGTTGCCTATTTCAGTTCTTGAGACAAGGCTTCCACGTAATTGATTTAGAAGGTATAACCACCAAACACTCTTTAAACAGCTCCAGGGATGATTCAGTAATCAATCAAATCTATCAAAATTGCAAAAGCAGTCATGGGATACTATTAATTGCATGTTTCAATAAAGATGCAATTACATACAGGCCACACAATTCCTATATATTAACATATCCAAAATGTACATTTTCATATTTACGTACATAACAATTAAATGTTTCACATTACATCAAAATACACTTCTATTAACTTTTTAAAAGTGAAATATACCTTTTCATGCTTGAGTTTGACATCAAAATATTCTAAATTTAAATATCAAACTTAAAAGTGTATGTAACAATATTAGGAGGCACGGAGAGTACATTATACATACTTATAATAAATTAAATAAAAAAGAAATAAATAAAAATATCCTAAATTTATAAGGATGAAAAAATGATGATATTTAAAAATGGAAAAAAATGATTTCCATATTAGTGATAAATCAAAATAGAAAGTAAAGAAAAAGTAATATGAAAAATATTAAGTATAATAAAAAATAATAAGTAATCAAAACTGGACAAAATAGAAGAAAATGAATATCAATGATTTTTAAGATTAACAACAATTATGTAGTACATCATAAATCATCAAAATCTTACATTTTATCATACATGTTATTATTTATTGAATTCAAATTTAATTTTTTAAGAACACACATGTGGGATACACGTGTCCGAAGTTTTTTATTATTTTTAATGTGTCACATGCGTGTCTGCATGCCTATTTGTAGTGAAGTTTGAGTGCAACGTAGGTTACAAGTCATAATACTTTCATACTTTTTCACCCACCCGAGTCGAAGCAAAGCTCATGATTAAACAATCCATGGCAATAAAGATCCTCTTATTTAAGTTGAAGTAGAGTGAGTGAGGGAAATTTGAAACTAGAGGAGCCTTTAACAGTGTTGCCATAAAGACGATTTTAAAAGCAAGTTTCTTGGTGCCAACTTTCTACAAAGATGTTTTGAAATATGATCATCAACTTCATCAATAATTAGGATCAATGTTCATACTTGCATGCACTGAGTTGGTCGTTTTCTTCGGGCTAACAAGCGCAGATCCCACAAGTTTTGATTCCATTAAAAGGCCTAAAGTTGGCACCAATAGCAAAAATAATTTAGAGGAACAACATCTATCGTGTTGAAAATTCAAATCTAATCATTATTTTGTTCCCCTAATTCTTGGTCGTTCGGTTTCCTCGATTCTTGACGAGACTTGAAGGCAGGAAAAACATAACCCCAATGTGCCAGGATCAAGACAAGAAACCACAGAGTAGAAGGCCACTAGAATTGATGATTAACTTAGAAGTGATCAAACATTTTTTAATCCAATGCAGGAAGGGAGCATAGCTATAGGGCGAAGACATGGAGATCAAATGTATGGACTTCTTTTAATGGCTTCTACACGAAAGGATGCAAAAAATTTAACAAATTTCTATGGAATGGACTGTCTTATTAGTTGTTATGTTGCAAAATTAGGTAACTACTAAGAAGATTTGTAATTTATAGTTAGAGAGTGAGGAGGTGATTATCTTCAATAAGGAAAATATATGTCTTTCTTGACTTGAGGCCCTCCTTAGGTTACTTCTTTGGTTTTGACAGTTTGCAAGTGTCCTTCGGCTAAAGAAATAAACTGTTGCCCTTATCCTCTTTATTTTCACTCCTGTTGAGAAATTATGGCAAGGAAATGCAAATCAAGATCAAACACATGGATTTAACGAGGTTCAGCAAAATGCTTAAGTCCTCGGAAGCGAATAGCGGCGGCGGCTTTTTCAATGTCATGAAAAACAGTACATATCCTTTAGGGTTACAAATACAACGTATATATATAACCCTAGTATACAATATGTAATTACATAATTACCCATGTACCATACCGCGGAGCCGTTGCCCATGCATCACCAACCCACTTAATGCAACTCTCCCGATTTGGCAAATGCTTCCGCTCCACTCCGCTGGCTCGCTCTGTTCCGCTCCAGCATATGTCCCTCATCTGGTATGAGTCATACCTAACAACTCCTAAATAAAGTAGGACTGGTATTGGAGTGAAGGCACAAGTGTTTTTAAAGGGACCATATCATCATGCATATGCCTTTAGAGTTAGCTTTAGGTTTGACCGTCTTCTTATCTTTTGAGTGACTAAGCAGCATTCTCAATAGTTGGCACTAGAGCACTCAATATAAAAATTGCATGAGTTACTCTACCATGAAGTCCTTAACAAATTTACAGAACTTGATTTTATAAACTGTGACGCATCTCTATTCAAGTAAAACTCTATCCCACCTTTGGTGCACCACATACATTGTTGCAAGCTAAAGGGAATTTTATAACACTCAAGAGTAAATGTTAGAAGGTTGCTAATTTAGAACTCTAAAACAATTATTTTAAGAGCAAAAATAATACTCACAAAACATCCAATATCTTGTGAAAATTGCATCCCATTTATCTATTGTCCTAAAAGAATAGTACCGACGCGAGATCAATAACAAGCACAAAATGCAAAACATCAACAAAATGTGCCCCACGTACTTGCTATTAAGCTATCAATATCTTACGCTGTCTTTCATTTATTTTCCTTGTAAAAAATATTTACCAATATTCTTTTTCCCTAGAAAATACTGCAGAAATATGGTGACAAAAAAGATTCAAAAAATTATAGTGAAGACTAAAATATTATCTCAATGAGAGATGGTAAGACTCTTAACAGATTACAAATGGATTAACCATGTCTACAACTATGGAACAACTCTAGCTCTAATTCAAGGTAGCAAATTGAACTTGACTACTACCCAATTCCTTTTTGAGCCCTCTTCTAATCATTGTCTTCCTCAAATCCTCAACTCCCTCCCACTTCCCAAAAGCTCCATAAAAATTAGAAACCTGTATATAGCTGCTAGGATTATCTGGATCCAACTCAAGCATATACATAGCAACAACCTCTCCTCTCCTAAAATCCATGCTAACTCTGCAGGCATTCAGCATAGCCACACAGACTGGACTTGTAAATTTTTTATATGATCCATGGAAACTACAAAACAAATCCCATGCTTCTTCAACCCTGCCCGCCCGCCCTAGAAGATCTATCAAACAAGCATAATGTGCCGAACTTGGGGCAACAACATGCTTATCCTTCATCAAAAAGAAGCATTCCTTGGCTTCATCTACCAGACCAGAATGGCTACAAGCAGACAGAACTGAGAGAAATGTCACAGAATTTGGAGAAATATTACTAGAAGTTTTCTCCTTCACCATCCTCTTAAACAAACTTAAAGCTTCAACTCCTCTACCATGGATTCCATAAGCATCAATAATACTTGTCCAAGCAATCACATTTCTCTCTCCAATCCAATCGAATAGAAGGAGCGCAACGTTTAAATTTCCACACTTTCCATACATGTTTATGAGCGCATTACATAGAATGGTATCAAAATCAAATCCATACCGGAGTATTACACAGTGTATCTCCCTCCCATAGAACAAGTTCAAAGATTCTGCACAAGCGGTTAGAGCAGAAGTAAGAAATACCTCATTCAGCGGTTTCATCTCCATCAGCAAAGCAAAAACCTCTTGAAAGCAGCCATTTATAACACAAGCGTTGGCCAGAGCATTGCAAATAGCAGAATCCTTGGGGCATTGCAGTCTTTTAAAGACCTCAATGGCCACATGAACCTGCGCACAACTCGAATAGAAGTCTATGAGCGTGGTAGCCATTACAAGGGAACCATAGCCTGTGATAGTAACCCAAGCATGAATCTGCTTCCCCTGCCTAAGCGCTCGCAAAGCTGAAAAAGCTTTCAACAGCGAGCACAACGTAAAGCCGTTGAAGGAAATCCCACTGCCCACCATAGATCGAAAGGAATCCACAGCATTAACAGCTAGGTCGTGCATGACAAGGGATGAGAGAAGAGCATTCCAAGCGACGACATCTCTTGTAGGCATTTCGTCAAACAAAAACAGGGCGTCTTCAATCCGGCTGATGTTAGAGTACAAATCGAGAAGAGCAGTAGCAGTTATTGGCGAGGAGAGGCACCCTGTTTTCGCCATTAGGGCATGCAATTGTCGTCCAAGAGAAGAACAGCAGGTGGAAGAAGCAGAGAGAACAGGAGGAAAGGAGTAGGAGTCGAGAGGAATACCAAAAGCGCGCATTTTTTGAAAGAGGACGAGAGCAGAGGTAGGGTTGCCGGCGCGGACGTGAGAGGAGAGGAGAGTGTTGAGGAAGTAAGGGTTGCAATCCCATTGCGGCATTTGGTCGAGCAGGTGAAAGGTGGAGAGGCATTGATGTGAACTAAGACGAGTCTGAGCAGGAAGAGAGGAAATGAGACGTGAGAGGCGAATGTTGTGGAGAGAAATTTTCATTCAGCTTTTGATCACGTCAGCGGTTAGCGCAATTTTTAAGATGAGTTTGTTTCTTTTTTATGGGAAATTTTATACATTCCACTTTACTTTTATTATCAATTTATAAATCAAACAGCTAAAATCGGAGATTTACATTTACAATATTTTGATATTATAAATCCATACATGAAAATATGTATTTTATTCTTAAGAAATTAACAATGGTGGTGCTACATGTCAAAAAAAATTACGACAATAGAGTAATAATTTGGCGTCAAAGGGTCTTTTTGGAGTAGCTGCAACTTTTTTAAGAAACGGCTGTGAAGCTGCTGAAGAAGAAGTCATTGTTCAAAAAATTATGGTGGTTATTATCATTTTTTTTTTGAATAAGTCAAACCGTAGCTTTGTGGCAATCACTGCAGGTAGTCAGGTATGGTAGGAAAATGCAGTTTTTTTGAGAACGCTGACAAAAAACAGTTTTATTGAATAGGAAAAACTGTAGTGCGGCGTCACAGCGCCACCGCACCGTCGCTCCTAAATGCACCTAAGATTTGGAATAAAAATCCAACACATACAGAAATAAAAGAGAAGCAAGAGAAGTCACAAACTTTTTATGCGGAAAACTTTGAAAAATGAAATCATGAGATCTAGCCCAAGTGCAATAACTCGCCATGTAATTGTGAGTACATAAACTCATTATTCACTTGAATTAGAGAAGATGAAATTACAAAGTTTATGTACAATTCTAGTTTTGCAATAATAGTTATAACAGGTCATATAGTCCGTTGCCGATTACTATGAAAGTAGTAGCCCGACAAGAATGTTGTAGGCGGTGGTTATAACACCAGCTTGTCATAGATATCATAATTGAATGTCATGTTAGTAGTTGGTCATTGAAGTTGTAAATGATTGCTTAAAAAGTATTTGTTGGTCACAGAGGTCCTAATAGGAAGTTATAGGATTTATGTGCAACATAGACTGTAGTTAGTCACATAAGTCATGATGGTGAGCTGCAATAATGTTCATGGGACCACAAAGAACAGAGTTGGGATTTGTGTGACTTGTGAGTCATGTTGGTCGCAATTGGTCACATAGGTCGTAGTGGTAAGCTGCAATAATTTTCATTGGCTAAATAAGTCGAATTTGAGAGTAGTGTGAGTTGTGAGCCACATAGATTCTAGTGATGAGCAACAATAACATCTGTAAGCCATAGAGGAGGAAGTTAAGAGTTGTATTAGTTGTGGACAATGTAGGTTGTAGTTGGTCACGTAAGTTGTAAAGGTGAGGTGTGATAACATTTGTAAATCAGAGAGGTCGAGGTTGGGAGTTGGACAAATAGAGAATCACATAGGTCATAGTTGGTAACGTAGGTCGTAGTGATGAGCTGTGAAAGCATTCTTAGATGGTAGTTGAGAGTTACACAAGTTGTGGATCATATAGGTCATAGTTGGGCACATGTGTAGTGATGGGGGAGTTGTAGTAGTGTTAGTTGGTCGCCAATACTATAGTAAGGGGTTGCAGTTGCGGTGAACTAGAACGACTCAATCCAATATCATAGTGATCAAAAGTGACGGCACCTCAATGCATTGAATCCCAAGTTTTAGTTCCTTGCCTTATGCTTAAGTACAAACTAGAAAGATGTTAAGAGCTCCACCCAAGTTGCATGTCTCTCATTCAGTTTGCTCTGGTTTAAGAATTTCAAGGCTTCATGGTCCCAGAACAATGTGAACTCGCTCATCAGTAGTTAATGGCTTCAGTGCTCAAGAGCTCCCAATAACATAAAACTCATTGTCGTATGTCGAGTATTTTCTCCTTGAATCAGCATTGCTCATATCCTCACACTGGATGCATCACACTCTACCTCAAACAGCTAGTAAATTTTATTAATGCCAAGATTGGTGCCCAGATCATCTTCTTCTAGAGTGCCTTGTAAATATTTCGGTTTGCCTCTCTCCACTGAAATTTCTCTCTTTTCAAAAGCTCTATCAGAGGGGTGGTGATGTTTGTGAAGTTTCTGATAAATCACTTGTAAAATGACGCTAGTACCAGAAACTGTCGTAGCTCGATGAAAGATTGTGATGTGATTCAGCTCACACTGACCTCAATCTTTGTAGGATCCATCTAAATGCATGCACTATACATGATAAAACCAAAAAAAGGATACATAAGATGTCATAAAATGGCACTTCTTTGGATGGGCATATAGTTTCTCTCTCGCAATACCTCGAATACCACCCTAAATTACAATAAGTGTTGATCTTCAGATTGGTTGTATATCATGATGTCGTTTAAGTATACCACCATAAACTTCTCAATGAGATCCCGAAATACCTGATTCATCAACCTCAATCAAGTGATTGAAGCATTTAAGAATCTAAAGAGCATAATTGTGCATTAATTTAAACCAACTCGTGTCGTGAGAGCAATCTTCCACTCGTCTACTCAACTCATCCAGATCAGGTGATACACACTGCCTAAGTCAATCTTGAAAAAGATGGTGATTCCAGAGGTATGGGAAACTAATACTTGTTGGTGATCTTGTTAATGACCATCTTATCAATGCACATACACTAAAAAACTTCCTTCTTCGGAACCATCAGGATTGAGAAAGCACACAGATTGGTACTCTCTTAAACTAATCCTCTTGTGAAGAGATCTTGTACTTGTCGTTGCAACTTCTCATACTCTGTTGGTCTCAATCTATATGTAGTATGGTTTGGAAACACTAATTCTGGCATGAGGTTTATGGCGTGTTGAATGTCTCTCAGTGATGGAAGCTCATTAGAAGAGTGTTGGTCATCAAATCCTTTTGGTCAAGTGGTAGTGGTTGTAGAGGTGTTGGTATCTCACTCTCTTCCTTAGTTCCCTCTAGTAAGACCATTATTTCTGCCACAAAAGCATCCCAAACTGACTAGATTAAGGTGGACCTTGAGACCAATGCCTCCACTGTATCTCCTACACCTCTCGCAGTCATAACTAGTAACAACACAATGTGTTCCCTAGTCTTTTTAAGAGAGTGGGTTTTCTTCAAGCAGTGTGCTAAGTCTTACAGTAGAATTGTCAAGGCCCCCAAATAAAATATGATACACTTCCATCAAAACTACATCGCACCACACTTTCTCCTTTAACCGATTTCTAATTAAAAATTCTACCAAGCACCACTGATCTACATGCATCTCGTTTCTCCTCAACAACTAGGTAAGGGGATATGAATGAAAATATTTATGTGTGGTCAATCCCAATTTCTTCAACAACAATGTGGACACCATATTTTCACAACTCCCATAGTCGATAATTAAACTAAATACCTTGTTATTTACCATACACGGTACAAAATATATTATGCCTCAATCATGACTAATCTCTTACTTTAGAACCCTTTGTATGACAAACATCTCTCCCTTTTCACCCTGAAGCTGAAATTCTTCCTTTAGACTATCATCAAACTTCCCATCCTCCACCTCCCTGACAAGACCCTGATATGTGAATGAGATACTGATCTCGATTGTTTATATGCAACAGTATAACAGTGACTTTAATTATAATTTCCACTTATATTTTCTTACTTTGCAACGGAACAAAAAACTTGATCCTAAAGAAAATAAAAATTTAACTCTTTAATTTATATATTGGGATACTACGCAAGTATACGTATCATTATCAAGTAATATATGACTTTTTGATTAAGACCTGAATATCGAACTCACAGGGAAATTATGCAATATGCACTTAACCGTGAGAATGTAGCACTTAGGCGCTAGTGCATGATTTTTGATGCAATATGCACTTAACCGTGAGAATGTAGCACTTAGGCACCAGTGCATGATTTTTGATATTTCTGAACTTAAGTAAAATGCACTATAACGCACTATTAGCCTAATTATAACACCCCTAAATAGTTTCATAACACTAAATGACTATTTTCATCTCCTACAACTCTCCTCTCTCTCAAAATTCTCCCATATAACTCAATTCAATTTGAGATAAAAATAACACTAATTTTCACAAAAATAAACATAAACATTCATTCACAAACTAGTACAAGTGCATATAACACTTATTTCTCACTCCAAATAGTCTCGGATGAGAAAATCTTCTAATTGCAAATACTTAACAAACTTAAACAATTAAACGCATAAAAGTCATAAACACGAAAAACAAACACTAACATGTAAACACAATGACTCCTAACAAACAAACTTAAACACAAAACTTAATTCCACTCTTCATTTGATGGGATAAACTCCAGTCTTTCATTAGTCTCTCCTTGGGCAATCAGAATATAAAGTTGATAAAACGGACGGTGGTGACGTGCTCTAATGATATCTTCTTCAATCCATTTTTGTTTAAGATACATCTCCTTATTAGCTTCCTCTATATAACTAGTATGGCTAAATTGCATTTTCAATTGCCATCCAATCTGCTCAAGATGTTCGTGAATCTCAATTACCTTGGTCTCCAGTAAAGCCATGATAGTTTCAATTTTGTTGATCTTTTCTGATATTCCTTGATATTCCTCGGCTAAGAAACCATTATACATCTCTTGTGCACTTTGACTAATGAATTTATTCCTCATGGTCTCTTCCTTTTCTTCAAATCCATCTCCCATCTTCAAATCCATCTTCTTCAAATCCATCTCCCATGAAGACATTTTCTCTAAATCTCACTTTCTCTTAGACTTTGAGGGCTGAATATGATCCGGGGTGAAATTCCTTCACAAAACCCTTCTATTTATAGGCCTAAATTCTTATAATAACTTCTAGGCACGTCTTGGAACTACCTTGGCACGTTTTTACAAACTAATTGAAGGTTAAAACTTCTAAAATCTTAATTTAGCACATGTTTTTTAACTGTCGCGCTTAAGCGCCAGTGCTCAATTTTGCACCAGTCAACTTAACTTTCAAATTTTCATTCTAAGATCTCTAAATTACTAAAAAAAATCTTAAAATCAATACTAACATATAATAGTCTCAAAAATACTACGCCAATTTTCTTAATCACACACAAACAACAATCAAAGCAAAAATATACTGATAATTATGGGT